TAATCTGCAGTAGAAGCCGTCCTTCATACATCTGCAACATTTTTTTCTGCTCATTTTTTCTTTCATTTTTTTTTATCTTCCTTGAGCCAGGAAGATGCTCTTCACTTCTTCTTAAGCTTTACAGTGAGGAGTTGGTGCCTGTATGCAACAGGACAGACAGTCTGCGTCTCCTTGGAGAAACAACCCTGCACACACACATTCATATCTTGAGGTATAGTTTAGGTTTGGCAAGCATAAAGCTGGATTACCCTGAGGGATCCCAGGGTGAATATGCAATAACAGAAATGTTCCTGCACTTTTTTGTTGCGTGGCATCGTATTTATTATAGAGTATTATCAGCATCGCTGCCCTTCCTGTAAAGCTGTGGTGTCTTTAGCTTTGTGTCTATTCGGACACCTTATTAGCACACCCAGAATTTATTTATTCCAAATTTTGAGCTACAGTTGCTTCTGTTTCCACGTCCATCAATGAGCCTTGGTCACTCATGACCCCGTCTGTCTACAGACCACCACAGGCTAAAAATAACTCACAAGAGATGCGGTTCTGATGCGCTGACTGACCCAGTCGTCTATAACCATCAGAGGTCTCCCCTGTCAAATTCACTCATATTTTCAATTACTAACAAAATAACTTTCAGGATAAGCTGCTAATATTTCTAACGAGGGCAATAAAATTTATAAGGAATGTTATTGCTTATAAATTTTATTTTCTGTTCTTAATATCTTGTTTCTCTGCTGGTGAAACTTTTGCACAAGAATCCCATTATATGATTGTGCAGGGCATTGCTTTCCTTTTTAATAACTTATAAATGAAGGGCCGTATATTCCTTGAAAGTGTGAGAGTTTATTTACATGTAACATTTGTAATATTACCATAATAATGTTTAATTAGTGTATACATTGCTATTTACTGACTGTACTGCTTGGGTGGGATGCCTCTGCTAGAGGAGATGCTCTGCCCCCTGTGGTGCATTTCCTGGATTAATCAGGATTATGCAAAACACAAAAATGACCCTTACTTGAAAAGTGGTAATATATGTTAAAAAACAGATCGCTGAGTGCGGGTCAAACAACGTCAAAGGTTTAATAAAAAAAAAAAAAAAAATACAAGCAGCAAACAAAGGTCATGGTCTGAATATTCATTTTTATTTCCAGTTGTAAGAGTCCCTTTTATTCAGCTGCACACTGTGGATGCAGATGAATACGTGACTCTATAGGACCAACATCCTTCACTCTTTCTGCCCCCCTCCTCCTCCTTCGTCCCCTGTGAGCCGTGTCCTTTTATTCTATTTATAACCCGACTGGTGGAGAAATCCTATATATTTAGCAACGATATCAATAGTCTACAGCACACTCTGACCTGAGGGCATGAGAGACAGAGAGAGAGAGAGACTTGGAGAGTAAGAAAGGAAGAGGAGGAGAGATTAAGGACAGATAGAAACAAAGGAGGGAGGAGGCAGCAGCGCTGAAGAAGAGGGACAATATCATTTCACTGCGACTGACAGTGATGGGGCATGAATGCGTGTCCCTCCAGTAAGAGGTCAGAGTTTGGTTTCATGGAGATGGTTAAGAGCAAACTATACAGACAAGTTTTTATCTAATATTTTATGTACTGTGAGCTGTTAAATTTCTGCTTCCAGATGAAATAAACAGCGACAAGACTGGAGGGACATTACCTGACAGAGAAAAACATGAATTCCTATTGGGCTTTTTCAGACCTTTTTATCCTCATGACCTTACACTGACCTTACACTTAAGGGGGGGGGGGGAATCATAAAGTAGTCAATAATTGTGAAATGCAAAGAAAATTGCATTTGATTACAAAAATATTTTACAGATAACAGTCTGAAAAAAAATGTGTGGCTCACATTTGAATTCAGCCCACTTTTATCCGATGGCCCAAAATAACCAAACCCCTTCAGAAGTCACCTATTAAACAGACTTCACCTGTGTGTGTAATTTAAAGCCAGTAGAGCACTGCAGAGTTTTGGCTTCGATCAAAGCATATTTATCCGTTAGTTTTCCTTTGGTCCTAATCCAATTAAGAGTATGTGACATGAATTGAAAATGTTCTCTGGTGCTCTCCGTCTATTTTAGCTTGGCCTCAGTCATTTTCAAAGAAGAATGGGAAAAATATGTTTGTGTGTGTGTGTGTGTGTGTGTGTGTGTGTGTGTGTGTGTGTGTGTAGATGTAAAAGTTGGTGCAGACATGCTTGGAAGACTTACAGCCACAGTAGGTGTAAATGACTGACTATGAATTTACATTAAACTTTTCAGAGTTTTAGAAAAACAAGATGTTATGTATTTTTTTTTTTTCCCATTTTGCAAATATAAACTATCTTGTTTTGGTCCATCACACAAAACAGAACAAAACTTCCTGTACAATAGTGGCTGCTATTCTGACCAAAACATAAATAGGTTCAAATGGAACGTATACTTTTTCTGCACCTTTAAAAGCTAAAAAGCCATGTTCAAATTACTTATAAAAGCATGTTTTTTACAAAACAGCTTAAAAAAAACAAATGAAATGGTTCCAGTTCTTATGTCTTCAAAATAACAGAGATCTGACAGTAGAATATTTTACAGAAAATTATAGATTTTAAGATAGGAAAAACCTTACATCAACAGTCAACAACAGGGTGTGTACGAAAAAAAAGATGCTTACACCAATAAATTCTGACTGTAGAGCAAACGGAGCATAATTTAAAAACATGCAGCAAAGGAGTAGATGTGCCAAACCGTCAGAAAAGTACAAAAGAGCCATGAAGGACGTGCAGAGAAAGAGAGGGGGAAGTACGGAGGGAGATGGGAAGTTGATGAGATTTTAATGTGAAGGTCAACTTGTTATAACTTCGGATCTCTACAGGGATATTAGTCTCTGCTTGGTGCTGGAGGGGCTTAAGAGACGGGGGGGAGTGGGCGGAGCAGCTGCGGGGGAGGAGGAGGAGAGAGTGAGAGGCTGCCCCAGAGGAGAAGGGAGGGAAAGTGAGACGCAGGGAAGGGGAGGGGGGTTTGCTGCTTCGACAACTCCAGTCCCACAGCAAACAGAGCGGTCAGCATCTCGTCTCCCAGCATGTGTGTGTATGTGTGTGTGACAGAGAACGTTAACATGCTGGAGATTGGCCTTTTCTGTTGTGTTTTGTCCTGTTTTGCGTGTGTGAGTATGTGTGAATGAGAGGGAGTGACAGAGAGGCGTGTGGAGAACACGAAGCGGGAGGCATTCCTCCGCCACTTCACACGATGACAGAATGAGACACGTCACTGTGACTTTCTCAGTTGGTTTATTTTGAAGTTATTTCTCCAGCACATGAAAACAAAAGAAGTCAACTCAACAGACAAACACATAAACTAGCCATAATAGATTGCTGATTATTACGCATTTCTCTTGTCTCTACTGTATTGAAACACTCAGAAAGAGGTTATGAACCCATAAGTTCTATTAAAGAAATAAAACTCATTTGTGGGAGACGTTGCGGCCACCTGCTCCGATCAGCCAGGTTTAAATAAACGCACTGCTTGTATTTTTTTTTTCCACGTATTGAACAGTCCCATTGAGCCTCCCTTCTAATTACTCCCAATCGATGCTGTGTGCTGCATGTCGTTACACAGCAAAAAGCTTCCCAGTGTACACAGATAAAAACACAAGTTTCTGTACTTTAACAAGCCAACAAGCTTGTTTGGGTAAGACAACGTGAAGGGTAATGTTTTCTTAATGTGCAGTAAAACAATCAGAGGTTCTAATTAAGGTGCTGCGCAAAAATAAATTCCTTAAACCTTTTCACAATTTCCCCCATTACACACAACAACTTCATTGTATTTTATTTGATTGACCAACACAAAGTGCTGCATAATTGTAAAGTGGAAGAAAAAGGGATTTTAGATCGTCTTTGTAAACAGAAATCAAAAACGGGGTGCGTGTATTTTTTACTCATCCTGCCCCCTCATTCTGATGCCTCTAAATAAAGAATTAGAAGCTGCAAACATTGCCTTGCACTCTGCAAACCTGATCTTTAAGGAAGAGTGGCAAGAAGAAAGACGTAAAAAAAAAAGACGAAAAAAAAAAAAAAAAAAATCATGGCAAGTTCTGTCTAAGCTTTGCTTCAGGCCAGAAAGGAGCGCTTGCCAGATAACACCAAACTTGAACCTTTTTCAAGTTTGAAAAAGTTCAAGTATCCATCATATGGAGGCGGAAAACCATCACTCCACATAAACCTAAAGTCATCATTCCCACAGAGAAACAGGGTGGTGGCCGCATCATGGTGTGGGGATGCTTTTTGTCAGCAGGAGCTGATCAGAGTTAACAAGAAGAATAATGGCGCTAAATACAGGAGAGTTCTGGAGGTACATCTGTCACAGGTCACAAAAGAAGTGTGACAATGTTGCTAAACAACAAGACCTACATTAGTTTAGATCAGGGGTCACCAACTCCAGTCCTCAAGGGCTACCATCCTGCAACTTTTAGATTCACCTCTGCTCCAAAATGTCTGAATTCCCTCACCAGCATTAATTCCTCTCTGCAATAGGCTGGAAACGAGCAGTTTATTTAATCCAGGTGTGTTTGAGCAGAGAGGCATCTAAAAGTTACAGGATGGTAGCCCTCAAGAACTGGAGTTGGTGAGCCCTGCTTTAGATCTACACACATTCGTACATTGGAATGGTACCGTCACAGTCCAGATTCATGGAAAACCTTCAAAAATTGTTTTCTCATCCAATACAATTGTGCTCGAGTTGTTTGGAAAGAAGAATTGTTCGAAATTTCTGTCTCTAGATGTGCAAAGCTGGCAGAGACATGTACTGTAATCGCATCAAAATGAGGCTCCGTAAAGAATCGACAGGAGAGAGGTGAATAACGTACCAAACCGTTTTCAGAACCGTGCATCATTTTCTTCCCAATTCTTAACACCATTGGTGTTGGTCTCTCTTACATCCAAATAAAATCAAATAAAGTTTGTGGTTGTAACATAAAAATGTGAAAATAAAAGGTTCATTGAGTGTTAATGCTTTTGCAAGGACCAGCTTGAATGTAAACATGGTGTTTAATTGAAAGTAATGCAACTGAAAGTCCAGCAGTTTGAGGGCAGCAGTGTTGCCTACAGTCACCGTCATACTGCGTCATTTATGGCTGAGGTCACGAAATTAAACTGAGAGGTAGAGGCCGGCTAAAAGAGCCTCAGTGAGTCCTTTTTATGATTATGTAATCAAATTGGGAAAGAGAAACATGTCTAACCATTTAGATAGCTTCATAGTCTATGAGTCTATCAGTTTAGATCTAGATTTCAAAATGCACATTTAGGTGCTGTGGATTCCGTATCTATGATGGGAATGTATTTGAGCTAAATAGACCTTCAAGGAAATGTAATTTATGAAAAGAGGATTTCTTTGCATATTATTTTCTGAATAGCAGTTTGAATAAAGATGTTACTGGTAAATTGCCTGTTCAGAAAACTGAGGACTTTTATCTTCCTTCTAGCTCTATAGAAACTATCCACATGCAAAGAGATTCATTTGTCTGTCTGACACTACAATAGTCTTACAGCAGGTTGGGCAGATCTTATAAAAGAAAAGAAGTCTAGAGTGGCAAGCCGTAGCACTGGCTTGGTCGATACACAAACAGTAAGAGGACACACATGTCAGTGAGGAAATACCGACTCGTCTTGGCATTTTAATGTAAACGTCAGAAGTTTGTCACAAGAGGTGAAATATTTGCTGCTAATTTTCATACTCTGGCTCTCAGCTATAACACTACTGTCTGATAAATAACGGGGGGAATCGGAGGGGACAGTTTTCAAATAGCTGTGAGAGGCAACGGAGCAAAGTCTGGGTTGAAGAAGGAGAATCCCTGGAAATCCTCCTGGTTTATGGCTGCAAGCACATCTGGATCCGATGGGGTGAGAACGGACGGGGCCGCTGTGAAGAACTTGTCGAAGTTCTCGCCTTTTCTCCCACCCTGATGAGGAAAAAGGCAGGTAAAGCACGAAATCAGTCACTCCGGCCTCACAAAAACGCTACGGTTAATTACTTAAAAAAGCCCCCGACTCCCTCTAAAGATATATTGAAACAGCCTGCCAACATGTCTCTCCTGCCCACCCACAGCCTTCATTTCTAGGATGAAAGCCGGCCACATATCTTCCCCACCTCCTTAACCCCACATGACAGCCATTCTGGTGGATGAAATGAATCTCATTTGGCTAATGGGCCTGGCCTCTAACCCCTGAGCACAGTCAGCTGTCTCCTGCCACGCCTCACCATTGGCCGATGTGGCAGCAGACTAGCATGCGGCGAGCTAATGATGACATGCATTTGCATATGGAGGAGTAAAACGCAGCCCTGGGTTCAGAAGTCCTTTCTGTTATTCCTGAACTTTCTGTGTGTGAGCCGGGGACCAGGGAATCCGCTCAGGTGGTGAAAGAGTTGATGGGAAGGAGCGACAGAAAGTAGAGTCAGAGAGTGAGGAGATGGGGAGAAGAACGAGGTAAAAGGAGAGGGAAACTTTGGAAGAAGAGGCGACAAAATAAACACACAGAAAGCAAATAGAAATGTCAACTGACAGTTCTGGGTTTGAACGGTGGCGGTATCTCCAGTCGCTCCAGACGGTCCCAGTCTATCCAACGGAAGAATGGATGCTCCTTGATCTCCCTCTCGGCTTCCTCTCCTCCACCCAGACGCTTGGCAGGGTGCTTCGTCAGGAGCTGAAGAAAGACAAAGGACAAAAGTTTCAGAACATGGCAAACTTTCCTGGAATTGAACTTGTAACTAAACATATTGTGTTTTCAGCAGTAAGTTCTGTTCGGTTTAGTTAAATGTAAATCTTTTTTATTCAGTCTGTGGTTTGATAAGAGGGAATCAACTAAGGATGCAGAGGTCAATCCCCACTAAGCCTTGTTCTGCTGGAAGGATTTTTCGCTGTTAAAAGGAAGCCATTTCTTTCCACTGTCGCCAGATACATACGCAGGAGGAGGACAATTGCAAAAGTCTGTCCTGGGGAGAGATATAATATCAGCAGACCTAGTTAAAGTCCGAAGAGGTCTGAACTCCATGCTGAACCTGAAGATGTGGACTGGGAAGAAGGTCAAAGCCACCAAATCCTGTTTGTTGTGTCAAACTGTTAGAATCACCTCTAACTTCACAATAAATCTTTTGCTTTAAAAAAAAAAGAAAGGACGGAGAACTAAAAGTAGATCATAGTGTTAACAAATTCAGTAGAACGTCCAGGACCAAGAGGAAAAAGTGAAACTGCTTCATTAGGGAAAGGATCCGTTTCATCGCAGAGGTTTTCACTGTCCTGGGGATCCACATCATCCAGAAAATGTGGAGCATTAGATCAGATCCCAACAGGAAACCGAAGTGAGCTGAGGGAAGGAAGGAACTTCAGGACAAGCCGTAGCAGAAGATCGCTGAACTTAAGAGGAAAGACGCCGACCTGGAGCAACTCTCAAACGCAGGAGATCATAGCCGTTTTCTGCAGAAGTGCCCCTCGCTGTCAGCACTCGGTGAGTCTACACACTCATCCAGCGTCAATTTCTGTCCTCCGAGGTATTTTGAGGACGTGTTAGCAGCTGTGTCAGCGCTCGGAGAAAAACTACAGGACATCCTGAGAGACGCATGTACACAGATCTCAATGACAGTCACTGAAGGCAACGTTTTACTGCCAGAACCAGAACCAAGAAGTGAAGCTGGATTATTAAAATATTCCTGAGAAATCACTCCTGGGCCAAGCACAGCAAACAGAAATCTGTTACTGCAACAAAGCAACTTTTAATAGATCAAAAACAGTCTTACTCTGACAATGCAGATCATTTTACTCATTGGCAAGTTGTCAAGTAGTTTGGGACCTTGAAACTCCTCCACATTAAAACAACCCATAAAGTTAAACTAATGCAAACGAACTTTACATCGTTCAGATTGTTACACGTTAAGATTATTGTCATTTTCCTTTCAGTTCCCAATTATGCTGTACTTTTTGTTGGTCCATTACAAAAAAAAAATAAATCCCAGTCACGTATATTGAAGATTATATTTTCAATGTGACAAAATGTAAAAAAAAAGAAAAAAACAGAAAACGTTAAAGTAGAATAAATACTGCTGCGTAGTTCTGCCAGGACCTGTAATTACAGTGATTTGTATTCAGAACTAGTTGAGTTTTGTTAACTTCAGTCCAGGCCTGCCGCTTTTCCTCCTCATATTATTATTCCGCAAAGAAGATAAAACTTCTGACGGCTGCATAAAATTTCGCATAGCGTAGCCTGCCTGACTCTAATAAATATAAAAAAAAACTAACTTTCAAATAATGTGCAGGATTAATAAAACTTTCCTAATGCACATTTATCAAATGTTCTAATTTAAATCTTGCCCTCGATGTCTGAAGGCTGCAAGTACAACAGGAGGGGAAATGAACTCACCCCTTTGCAGATAGCCACAGCTTCCCGAGAGAGATTTTTGGGGTAGGAGACACTCTGCTCCATTATGGACTGAAACAGCTCCTCTTCGTCGATGCCATCAAACGGTGGCTTGAAGTAAAAAGGGTTAAAAAAAAAGAAAAAAGAAAAGAAAGAGTTTCACCACAGATCAGTGCCGGTTCCTGCGTTTGCAGTGATTACAAATCACTGCAGGCTTTTATATTATTGCAGTGCAGTTAGAGTTATTCTGAGAGTTACCTGTCCTGCAAGCATTTCATACATTAGTACTCCATAAGACCACCAGTCTACTGCTTTATTGTACGGCTGATATGCCACAATCTGAAAGGAACATGAGTGGAGAGCAATTAGAAGAGAAGCAGTGTGGAGATAAGAAGACAAAGAAGTAAACACGAAGCGAAGGCAAACAAAATTATCGCAGTAGGAATAGCCAGAGGAGGAGAGCTGTCAGACACTGAAAAGAAAAAAAAAAAAACAGCGCAGGAAAATGAAAGGCAGCAAGGAGAGGAAGTGTATGAATGGGACGAGACTTTGGATTTTTGTGTCTGCGTTTGACTGATTATGCATTCCCCCCCTCCCTCTCTCCCCCGTGAGTGTGAGTGTGTGAGCGCCCCTCTTGCCTATGGAAGAGGGGCACGAGTGAACAATTCCCAGCCCCCCGGGGAATTATATTGTATCCATTCCAAAATGGCAGAAGCAAGAGAATCAATAGGCGTTTACATAAGAGAGTCGATGCGTAGTGGTTCCACAGCGAGGTTTACCATATCAAAGACAAGCAGAACCGTCAGGTCCTCCCTCTGTCGGTCTCTCTCTCTTTCAACAAGTCCAAACAGGTATGCACACACACACATTTTATGTTCAATATGAAAATAGACCATTGTGCAAAATTTGCTATACGTCTTCATTATTCCAAATATTTTGGTCTTCACTGGCGTTGTTGGGCTGCAGGCGGTTTAGTAATTGATCTCTTTAAAATTAAGACTCAGTTTCAAAACAGCACAGTACTTAGCAGTTTTATAGGCGTAAAGCCATACGTAATCATTTTTTTCTTTATCTGTAACCCTCATTCAGAGTACATCACAAATACAAAATGGTAAAAATAAAATATAAAGCAAATAGTTTTCAACTGGATCACAAGAATATTGTTGACAAAAAGCTGCCAGGTTTTCTTGGATTTTGTAAAAATCATGATTTTTTTCCTCCATCTAATCTAGTGATTCCACTGGACTCTCGCATCAAATCCAGCTGCAAAATAGTTCTACGCCAACTAGAGATATTACCGCCAGGCCGCATCTGCTTGAAAAAATATTGACATGCATACTTTTTCATGCTTAAATGTGTGGAATGCACATGCTGCGCTGCTCGTTTTCTATTAGGACAAATGGAAAAAAAAAAAAAAAACTTAAAAATATCAACATACGTGGGATGGTAAGAAACAGTGTGGCGGCAGCTTTAATCTGCAAGTAATTTCCTGTAGTTTATATTTTATTTAACACATTTATTTGTTTTTATTACATGATAAACGGGCAAGTTTCTATGATAAGTTGTCCCCGATTTAGGGTGACACCTCCAATGCTTTGCCCTCCATTTAAGAAGAAATCTCCTCCCTCGTCATCACTTCTACCCGGGTCATATGCTGGGCTGACTGTTAAAAAAACACAGCCACTCACTTTACAACCCGTCTCTGTAAGACTATGAAAGGATGTTAAATCTACACAGTGACGTTAACCTTTTTTTAAGGTGAGGCAATTCAATTCGATGTTTTGGAAACAACACGGGTTTCTCAACCCTAAAGAATCAGGTGAAACGGATAAAAGTCCCATCTTTTTTCATAAGGCTAAAAAAAACCTGCTGATTAAAAATTATTAAAAAAAATCTTCTGTCTTGAAAGTGGATTTTCTTTCTACATCACGACAAGAGATTAAGAAAGTGATCGCTTGTAGTTTGTGCTCTTTCACTGATCTGATCCCACATGCTATGTTGCAAAACTGCATGACAGATTGTGCGTAATATTTTATTAATTTAATAAATGAACTAGTAACCCTAGCAATCTCTGAATAGTGAATGGGAGACTATTGTCTGCAGCACCTGTTTGACTTAAGATACTGATGGAATCTGTGGGTTTAACTATTTTTGCAACACTCAAACTCAAGCAACCACGACTTCATTTGAATATGAATAGAAACATTTCAAAGACAGAAACAAACTGTTAGCCGTAGCGTCGTTTTAAGTGTGGAAAAATCGAGGGCAACAATCACACCACAATAATCTACCAACTCTTACATTTCAGAGTTACAAACCACGAGTGTTGAGGTGAAGCTGGAATAACGAGGCTTTTGAAAGGCAGTGTTAGTGCACGGGCCCGCTGCTAATTGAATAAAGTGAGGTTAATTATTTAAAAATGCTGACAAGGTCAGAGAGGACAGATCAGACAAAGAGGAGCTGCTGTGGGTGTCTAACAGTGAAGTGAAGCAGGTCATGCATGCGCAAAGGGGTGAAACAGTGAATCTGACACCACAGCGAGCACAGGGGAGTCAGAGAACCTCGGGGGCGATGTAGTCGGGAGTGCCACAGAAAGTGCGAGTGGTGTCGCCTCCGAACATGCCCTCCCTGCACATCCCGAAGTCGGCGATCTTTATGTGGCCCTCGCTGTCAAGCAGCACATTATCCAGCTTTAGATCTCTGAGAAGAGAGGGAGATGCGTTCACACAGCCATAAATCATCCTGATGGAGAGCGTCTTCATCGGTCATTGGCCACAAAAAAGGCGTGATAAATCTGCATCGGCTCTGTGTTGTGCCGTGACAGCCGGGCCACGTCTTTACCTGTAGATGATGCCTTTGCTGTGGAGGAAGAAGAGGCCGACTGCGATCTCTGCTGCATAAAACCTAGAGGGAGAGAGGAGATGGTAAGAACAAAGCTCTCTGGCTACTTTTTCAGGAAAATTGACCGAGGTTTTTTTTGGGCAACATGTGGGAGGTCGAGAGGGTGATGAAAGTGGAGAGTAACCAAACAGACATGAAAGAAATCTAATTTAAAAGAAAAAAAAAAGAAAAGGAAATAGTGAACTGAGTAAGAATTAGCTTTAGATGATTGATCAAAGATTATAGATTGGTTGAATAGCCAGAGGGAGGGAAACTGATGAGAAGAATAGATTAGAGTGAGGAGAACGTTAGAGGAAATGGGAGAGGGCTGCTACTTCAGTTGATAGCCTTTTGTATGAGTCACCAGGTATAATGAACAAAGCTAAGAGATGACTGAGGAGGTAAGTGAATACCGAGATAAAAGACAGAAAGGTAATGAGACTTGTGTAGATGACGGCGGAGATCAAAGCTAGACTTTATCGGACTGCATACGCTGCATGGGGCTCTTTGAACTTCCCGACTTGCTGAATGTGAAACATCAGATCTCCACCGTCGACATATTCCATAACATAATACAGACGATCCTGCAGAAACAAACACACACACACTGTGAATACAGAGCCTTGCAGACGTATTCGTACACTTTGAATTTTTCCCACACTGTCACTTTATTAACATAGACTTTTGTAGACAAAGTATTTCTTCGAGATAACATGTGGTGGACCAACAAGTAGTGGATAACTGGTATTCAAACATTAATATTAATACAATTATTAAATGTATGACGTGCATTCCCATCAAGCCACCTTCACTCCGAGTCCCATAAATTAAATCCTGTGCAACCAGCAGTCACATGAAATCATTTAATGAACAGAGTTAATATCTGTGTATTTGCTCTAGGTGAAAGGAAACAAAGAGCATCAATAAAAGCAACAACTGAATTACCTAATTCACATAAATACCCAATAAAATATATTATTGTAATATAAGAAAATGTGGAGCAATGGTAGGCGTAGTTTGGCAAAGTGTTGTATTCTCTAAAATAAAAAGCACTCAGCTAAAACCAAAGCTTTGAGAACAATGACTTCGCTAAAGAGAACGAGATCATTTTTTCATATATTAAAAGGAAAAGCAGCCAGCCTGCAATGGAACAACTCCTTAGAGCCTAAATATCAAGCCTAAATATCATGGACAATTTAATAACACTAATATGTTTCACACAGACACACGCACCTCGGTCTGGAAGGCGCAGTAGAGCGATGTAAGGAAGTGGGGGCGCAAGGGGAGCGCCAGAACCCTCCTCTCCACCAGAGCGCTCTCCGTGTCCTCGTCCTGGAAGAGAACGTCCTTTTTAAGGACTTTCACCGCAAACAGATGATCGCTGCCTCGCTCTTCTGCCAGCAGCACCTGAACAGGACCAATGAGTGAAGAGAAACAACGTCAGGTGAAGCAACATATCTCGCAAGAAAAGTACAAAAGCTGTAGTGTCACAATTTAAATTGTGTAAAGGTTCATAAGTTTCGCCTTAAACGGTTTCTGATTCAAGATTCACCTTTCCAGTTATGACGCACTCAAAAACATCAGCGGTCTGTACCACTTGTTTTTTTTTTTTTTTATTTGTCATTATCGTGAGACAAAAGGTGATTCTCAGTCAATCATTCACCACCATAATTAGAACTAAACATGTAGTTTAGCACTTTGCTGCCGGCTGTGACACGTTTTTAGGTCATTGTGTGATGGATGACAAGGTGCTCCAGTTGGGAGGAAACTAGTTCTGTCAGTTGTGCTTTTGAGGCAAAATTATGGCATGAAGGAGTAAAATAATAATCTAAAAATTTAAATCTACAAAATGAAATGATCTCCAGGATCAGCCACAATAATTCCACAAATCACATGCACTTTATCTCTGCATGCCGCAGCTTTACTGCGAAAAGATGTTAATATTTGTATTTTTGCTTTGATTTTTTTTTTTTTGATTGTTTATAAATGCACTGCATGTTTTATTTTGCTTGGGCGATAAATAGATTTTTTTTTAGCTAGTCCTGTAATGTTCCTCCTCAGATTTCTTCTTGCTCTTCATACTGCACACCTGATTTGTGTTTCTGAACACATCCAGGGTTTAGGCTGCCTGGTTTCTTCACTACATTGTTGGATCCTGTGTTGATGGTTCTGTAGTGTCTTGCAGTGAGTTTTAGCTCGTTTGTTTTCTTGTTTTGCTTCGGAGCTTTTGCTTGTATACTTGTTGCTACTCCTCTGCCTGTGGTATCCTTTACATCTTCATTTGGGTTCTCCCATCTCACCCTTTTGGGCACAGAAGGGGAAACTTGCAAAACCATTTTGAGGCTGTGTGTGGAAACCTGTATTTCTGTCTTTCTAATTCTGAAACTAAATGTAGAGGTACTAACTAAATGTATTTGTTAGGTGAAATTACAAAAAAAAAAAAGTAGTTGCACACAAATCAGGTTATTATTCCAATAGAGTTTCCTAGCATCAACTGAACCGACACCTATTCAAGGTTCAGCGTTTGCTGACCAAGAGCGGAAAGAAGGACGACTGCATTAGCTTCCGAGGTAGCGCCAAGTCTGGCTCCACTGTACGACTAATGCACATTGAGGTATCTTTGTTGTTTGCATTATTAAAAGAGGAAGTGTCTTTATTTTTTAGACGACTGTGGTCCTCAACCCTGAGGATAAACTGAATTTGTGTGGACTACCTGTATGAGTTTTATATTCTGATGTTGTTTACTTCAGTCACTGGTTTCTCTGTCCAACTTAATCAGTCAAAGTGAAGGGAAGGAAACATCTCCTCGCACTGTCTAATAAAGTCTGAAAGCATCGCTTTTGATGTGATTTCACTATTCCGATGTTTTAAAGAAGCCAGGACCTGGAGGCCTTTATTATTCATAATATATATAAAAAAAAAGAAATAAATCTTTGTCTCATCACCTCTGCACCTGTTGTGTTTGTGTCTAAAGAATGAACCAAAGATAAGAGCACTTGACATGATGGACGTTTCTGTTCCTGCTTGTATTTAGAGCCATTTGCCTTTTGAAACTAGTGCAGAAAAAAAATCCTAACCTGAAGCAAAACTGGAGGCATTTCTCCCCTTGAGGCTACGAGCAGTACTATGCTTTTCTGACTGTGGCTTTTTCCACTGCCACCATTAGTCAAGGACAGGTCAGGCTTTGTCAAGTTTTTGACCTCTACAAATCACCTTAGCTTCTGCCCAAACTTGAAAAGGGCTTGCTCCCATCAAGAAATCCAGGACCAACTCTTCTCAGTGTCATCTTTTTATTTTAAGTGTCATCAGTGTCATCTTTTCTCTTTTTTTTTTCTTTGAATCACTGTACTTTTCAATACATGACACCCAAGCAGGTTGAAAACCAGTGGTGTTTCTGCAGGAGCTTGAAGATGAGGTCTTTGTTTGTAGAGATTATTCCAAACACAGGTGTGCTGAGTTGTCTTATAGGCTCCTGAAGGCCTGAGTGAGTGAGACGGGTGTGCTTGATTTTCTGTGAGGCATGTGCCAGCTGGGTGGAGATGGTATTGCACTCACACCAATACACCACTTGCTGTTTTAACTTGACAGGCTTCATGAATACTCCTAAAACTAAAACATGGCTCCTTATTCCATCTGCCTGGGACTGTGAAAATTAAAATAATTGAGTCCCATAAAATGGAGGAAGATAGTATTTTCATAGAGCAGTTCCCCTGCTTCATAATGTGATTAAAAAAATGGAAGCTAACAGAAACTGTTGAGGTCAATTTGAGGTCTGAAAGATAAAAAAAAAAAACACTTTTCAAAAGGCTTTCAGGGAGATTAGCAGAAAACGCAGCAGAGGCTGACTTTTCCAGCACAAACCAATCTTTAGAGGAAAGTCAACAGAAACAAACCCTTATTAATAGATGCTTTCACAACAGATATTTGCATATTACCTCAGGAATCTCCAGATGCGTTTGTTTGGTTTTCATGCAACAAACAAACAAAAAATAATGCACAATTGAGAAGTAAAAGTGAATGTCTGTTGCATAAGATCTCAAAAATATATTCAGTCCACTGAAGTTTGAGGTTGTAATTTGACAAAATGTGAAAAAGTTTAAGGGGGACGATGACGATGGTTGAGATTCTCAGCTTAAATTTTGAGATAAAATGCCTCTCAAACCTCAACTTACTGAAAATGCATTAAAAATGTGTAAAGAACAAGTACGTCACTTTGTGGAGACAGAAGTAGACTCAGCCTGGCATAATGAAGGGTTTAATCAAAGAGAAGCCGCGCCTGAAGATTTCCAGAAACATTAACGTCATAAGTGAAAAAAGCAAAGCAGCTCTTTGGTTATTATCAGACATTAAAAATACATTGAGAGGAGATTTGAAATTGGTTGCTTGTGGGCAGCTCTGACTGCTAATGATGCCATAATTTTCCACATCGAGAGAACCGCCTGATACTGGTTTTAGTGAAGCGATACGGTCAGGAGCAGCGCAATATGCTGACAACAACCCGGCTTAAAATTGGGCTGCCACTCTGCAGTGCTGCACTGTAAGGGGTTTCTGGCCATCGGAGATAAAGCATCTCATTTCAAATTGAATGGTGGAGAAAATTATACTTTCTCATATTTTGTAAATCAACGCAACAGCAAAAAAAATAGCTTCTTGCAGAAGATTGTGTGTGTGAAGTCGCTGTGAGAAACACTGCAGTCCATCTCTGATTGTGGTTACTGCTTTGTCTTGTGATTTTACACAAATTCACAAAAAAAAAAACTGGACTCCTCATCCTTCATACTTATACGAATCCCTGCAACACATACTTTTTTCTCATTTCCGGTGTAATCCAATTTTCTTTTGGTCATTTTGCTACTTCCTGCAGCTCAGTAATCCTCCTCTGTTTCTTTCCATCTCTGTCAGTTTCATTCTCACTTTTCCTCACTCAGCAGCCCCAAGGCCCGTCTGTCCTCTTCCTTTTTTCCCCCCCACACATCTTATGTAAGTTGAGTCTATTTCTCCTGTCCTCTGAGGACTCTCTGATAGTTATGAAACAACGCTGGGGGATTTTAGAGGAGGGGAAAGGACTCAAAACTAAAATTTCTTCATTATTCTTCATCTACAGGGGAATTAAAGAGAGAGTAGAAAGCAGAGTATTCCTTGAAATGAATACCTCCATGAGTGCTGCCTATGTGGCATATACCAGCTGGAAGAAAAACTCATGGTCAAGTGAATCATTTAGCAGAAGAAGAGACGACCAGAGCCAGAGTACAAATGAAAAATCTGTTTTGAAACTGGTTCAGCTTTATTGTTCCCAGGAGCTTTAAATGAAATGCCAGCTGAAGGTCATGACAGGAGCAGCAATGCTAAAGCCAGGAATAAATGTTTTTTGTTTTCTGCGCGAGGGCCCTCTTTGACATCACCTGCAACCGTTGGATCACAGGCGGCGATTGTGTGCAGAGAGAGGATGACATTTTGACTCTGAATCTGCCGCGGTTACCTTGCCAAAGCTGCCTTTGCCCAGCACCATGAGGAAATTGAAGTCATGGATTCCCACTCTGACTTTGCCAGGACCCGAAGAGTGGATGGGTGGGCAGGACGGGATGGGGGTCGGAGACAAGACCACGGGAAAAGGCTCCGGCACCGGGGCGGCCAACACCTGAGGCAGAGAGGGCGTTGTAGCGTCAGGCTGAGGTTCCTGGGGGGTCATAAGCAGAGAGATGAGAGATGAATTGGTGGATGTAGTCATGAAAAAATAAAAACAAAAAACACCCTATCCACTTTCAGTCAAACAATTCTGCACCCTACTGGATGCAAAAAGTAACAAGGAGGTGGATTTAATTTAATCTGTTGGGATTCAGTGTTGCAAATTGGTGAGTAACTGAAAAGAAAATGGAAAATTTACAAAAACCAACCAAAAAGGTGTGGAGAGCAAATGCTTCCAGCCTCCTTTTGCCTGATACCCTTAATTAAAATCCTGCACAACCAGTGGCTACAGAAGTCGCCAAATTAGTGAACAGAGTCTGTAGTCTGAAGTTTGGGCAAGAAATACACCATGAGATTTATGGCTTTTATTAACAATACATATACAGAGCATTGATTTAGATCTTAATTTGTAAACAAATATATATATTTATATAAAAAACTATTGCATCACTAATTCATTAGACAAAATCCGAGCGAAACTACACTGAAGTTTGTGATTAATAAATTCTAAAACTGTTGATGGGGGTGTAAATACTTTGTGACATACTGCATTGTATAGCTCTCAAGATAAAACTGATAAAAATAAATCAAGACAACTCAGGACCTAGAAACAATGTAAGCAGGTGCAACTGTTTTTATTAGGTCTCAATAATTACACACCCATAAAAGCTTACAAAACAAAATGTCTCTCTGCGAACAAATATCGTCCACAGAGGTCAACAAGTGTCCTCCTACCTGCAGGTCTGGATCTGGTACTGGGATGTTGTAGTATTCCCCCTCGTCCTGTGCAAGCAGCTTGAACCAACCGCATATAGGACGTCTGAAGATCTCGCTGACGCCGAAAGAGAGCGCTCCCATGAAATCATTCCTGGACGTCCGGTCCCAGTCCCACACCTCCACAGACAGACGCCTGTCCCACTGGTTGCCTCGCACTGAGCTGAGGAAACCCAAAATTCAAACTCAAGTGGGGAAGTTTTAAGTTTCATCTGACTTACTGGACGCACAAAAACAGGACAGAATAATATCTTCAAACAAACGTCATACGTCTCAGCATATTTACACATCTCCTCCAACATCTTTATTCCCGCCGTCAGATTTCCACCTTGGATTAAATTTTGCAGGGACTCACAAGGTGAAACTCTCATTCCAGACGGGATTGAGTGTTGAGCGGATGGTCTTCGTCTTCTGTTTGCTGTGGCTTTTTGGGTCCGGAATCAGTTTTAGTTTCACATACGGGTCTGACAAACCATTCGGATCCATGGGCATCAGATTGCGAGCCTCCCGAACTGCAGGGCCACAACAGAACAAATCAATTAAAAAAAGGGAATAAATCCTTCATCGTACGGATGAAATAACCCAACACCTCCTCTCACCTGTGACGTAGATGTCCTCTTTGTCTCCTCTGATGGTCAGGTGGATTCTCCCTCTTTTCTCCGTGTGATCCTGACCACACAGACTGGGAACGCTGGTCTCGCATCTCCGATGGACATTCATGTCGCAACCTTAACGTGCAGAAGACGCAAACAAAACGTGAGAAAGCAAAAGACATGAAAAAAGTGTGAAACAATATAAAAATGTAAAAAAAAAAAAAAAAAAAAAAGACATTTTTGAACTCCTTAGACTGATGAAATAGTATTGAGTTTTTCCCATATTTGTTTGGATAACCTTGAGAATACAGCAGTTTGTGACATGTTTACAGAATAAATAAATATACATTTCCTCTGTAATAAAAATGTTGCTTTGTAAATCAAGTTAGTTTTCTAGACTATAATAACTGAAAGCTCACTATATTTGTCCAAATGCTTGTCAGAAATCATCATAAAATTTATTTAATCTGGACAAATTGAATTGTTCGGGACAAATCTATTCATTAATCAACATTTTGTGATTAATTGTTTTTGGTTTTGCGGGTAAAATATGGGTTGGGTGAGTTCCAATTTCACTTTTCATAATTCCTGTGGTCTGAAATCCTTTTACTGAGACACTAAAGAAAAGTTAACCCCTTCCCCACTTGTTGCTGTACACTGCTGGTCAGATGGCTTAAAGAGAACTACTACACTTCTCCCTTGCTGACAAAACATACAGATTTTAAAATATTTTTGGGCACCATGGAGCCCTCTTACTGTTTCAAAACCACAGCTGGTGAGTTACAAGACTCGTCTCTGTGAAGCAGCTGACTGCACATTATTTTAGTATTTTTAAAAAAAGTGATATTTCTCAGTTATACATTTAATTAATTAGATCACGTTGAACATTTTGTGAAAAGAATCTTTTTGCAAAACGAAACTGATGTTCTTAGTTATCCCACTGTGAGAATCTACCTTCCTGTCATTTTTTTTTCACGTTTTCCCTCCCTTTGAAGCTGCAGAGGTGAATTTTGCGTTTTCTTCAAAGCAAACCATTATTAAACCCAGCGGCTCATTAGGAACATCAGCAGAGTGCAGCGGGTCAAACTGGACGGTGAAACTCACTGGTACATTTCATGCCCTGGTGTATGAGTCCGTACAGCAGCGATCCGCAGTGATCGCAGAACGTGGGGCTGGAGTACGTGTGGATCTTAAATGTGTGTTGACTCTTCAAGTCCTGGAACGAAAAAACAAATGAGCAAACAGCCAAAAAAAAAAAAAGAATAAAAGACCGAGAGAGAGAATCCACTCATTAAACTTAAACAGCACAATCATATGCACACACTTTCACACATTTACGGTGTGGGTGACTACTGATGGTACGAGCCAATTAGGTTTCTCCACTGGGAGAGGAAATTCACTGCATCCAGGCAAGGTTGTGAGCATGTTAGTGTATATTTACTGTACAGGAAGGAATGAATCATTTTTATCTCTTAATAACCGCTCCGCCATCCTTTCTCCCAAACTGTATACCCTCCCTCGTTGCTATTAATAACTGCTGTCACCCCACTTCTCCTGAGGAAAAGACAAATCTCCCCAATATCCTCAAGATGCCACACGGAGGAGGGCTGAGGAGTCTGCTGCTCTCTCCATCGTCTAATTCTCACTCTTATCAGTCTCTCACCCCCTCCTGCCTCCCTCCCTGCCACATAACCTTTCCTCTCTATCTTAAACTCCCCACATCCCCTTGCAGGATGACATGACATCAGCGTAGATGTCACAGATGAGACGCAGAGGAAGCGCGGATTGACAGATGAGTCACGTGCGCATGCCATCGGCGACGAGCGGGAAGGCTAAATGCGTGGATGATGGTGCGGCCGCGCAAGTCCAGGCGAGGGTGGGGAAACTTGAGGATATAAATGGAAGTGCAGAAGCCGATAACAGGAACACTCACATCGGGCCTGGGGGCAGTCACAGATCCGGGACATGTGAAGGTGACAAACTCGTGGCATCTTTTATGGACCACAAAACTGCAAACTGGAGAAAACATGGAGGATGAGGCTTAAAATTGTTATCAGTTTTCCACAGAGCCATATCAGAGAAAATAAAAATAACAGGCCACAAAACAGCAGGCCAATCTCTACCTTGACACTGGAACCCCTGCTTGCCGATGCCCCTGAATGAAGAAAGACACACGGCTTAGGACACAGAAACAATCTGCTCTCATTCCTCTTCAACGTGAAACTGTCCCGTTCAACCTCAACAAACTCTATTTATGTGACAAGAAAGTAATAAAAAATAAAAAAAAAACAGCAATGGTCACTTAAGAAACTCAATGTATTTTTTGTGAAGCAGCCAAGTAGCTGACTTGGTCAAACAGAAGCACACAGACTTAATTCTCCCAAAACACCGGCTTGCTCCCCGTGTCTCCTCAGAGCTTTAATTGAATAATTAAAGCCATTGATTGGCCAAAGCGTCCATTCAGCAGCTGGCTCGGTGTGAATCAAGTTGATTTGGTTGTTTAGAAAGTCAAACAATTGAGACACGCTGGAGAGCTCCACAACAATCATACCAAACGCGCCCAGGGAGTTTAAACTGACCATAATCACTGATCAGCAATCAGTTCACCATCTGGCTGAGAAACGATTATAGATGGGCTGATCCCTGATCAGCATGCAGCAGAAGTCTCTGGAGCCTCGGTGCTAGGACAGGATAGATGTTTCACCAGCAGGGGGCGCTAAAGAACCAGACATGGATTCACTGAGAATTCACTGTTTTGCTTGGTGAGCTTTTTTTCTTTCTTTCTTTCTTTTTTTAAATATGGAGAAGTGCATCTTAGATTTAACTACTGAATAGACTGAATAAATGCTTCAGTTAAACATAGGTAAACAAAACCAGCTTCTCCTTGGAAACGTCTTGCTAATAAATTTACAAAGACAGGAGGAGTTATTCTGTAAAATGCTTAGATTTCCTTGCTGTATTTAAAGCGCTGGAAGTGGCACAGCATGGACGATAAACTGATGGGAAATAATGTTAAAATACCACCTTAACCACATGTCCAGGACATGCTGACCTTTCTTTCTTTCCATTAATGATTCACTCTAAAATTAAATTCTAACATTTTAAAATGCACGCTCCTGCTTTGGAGGGAAAAGAGCACAGTGACATATTTATACCATCTATGTTCCAACACTGCTTTGCGTCTTTCCTGACATTTCTGCTTTGGTCTCCATGTCGCCGTTTGTTTATGTTCTTTGAGGCCTTCACAGAACGGCTGGATTTATTCTGTGATTAAATTAAACACAGTTGGTTTACTGATGAGGTTATATCTGAGGGCAGTTGATTTCACCTGATTTCATTTTGGATTATCAAACCGAAGGGGATTGAAAACAAATGTACAGTACAGTTGATTTCCCTTTTGGTGTAAAAAACAACAACAACAAAAACACACAAACACATTATTTTAACTCTTCAATTGCACATTTGTTGATACAGCAAATAAAATCTGATAAATTCATATTTGTCAGTGTAATGTGTCATAACATTCAAGGAGTATTAATATGTTTGCAAGCTACTTTTTACATGTTTAAAAACAACTGCTGCAGACATAATACTAAGAAGCAGAAGGTGAGTTGCTCTAACCTGTGATGTTTCATTAAGATGTTTTCATTTAACATGCTTTTATGACTTTTGCTTGCTAAACACATAAGAAATACATATCATCTTATGCTACATATACTTATTTTCTAAGTGATCTGCTTTCTGAGTTTTTCTCTCTCTTGCTCCTGTTTTGCTGATCACTTCACGTGCAGCATGTCGCTCCTCATCCGCCGTCAGTCTAAATACTCCCTAGTTTCCCTTATTCGGTGTCAGCGCCTTGCCTTTGTTTCACCTGGTACTATTCATCATCATGTCAGCTTGTATTCCTGCTCTCTTTAGTTCTGGATTACTCCATTTGTGACTTCCTGGGTTGCAGCACGCTCAGCTTCCTTTTAGTTAAATAAAACTTTGATAGCTCACCTGACTGCCTTCCAAATGTCAGGCTGCATCTGGGAGCTCATTCACACCACGCCTTAAAAGATATTGCAGATCGGGGACACAGTGGAGCGAGCTCGCATTTAAGACTTCCTCTGACTCGGTTATTGTTGTTAGGACTGCTGTTCTCCAAGACTGTGACACTTCGTTTGAAGCATTTGCAAAAATAATTGAAGTCAGCGTCAAAACTGCTGATTGAGTTAATGAAATATTATTTCAGCAGAGAGTTTAGATAGTTTATGAGGGCAAATATTTGTTTGAACAAGTCTCCAATAGGACAAATTAAAATAAACGACTGTCATTTAAATGTAAACCTTTAAAGCAGAATGAATGTTGAATGTGTCACAAAATAATGCTGTGTGAATATTAAATAATAATATTTTAGAAAATGCTTGAGCGAATGCTTCAATACGGCATCCACAAATCTAACAAAGCTGTTTTACTGACAAACTACAACTAAGCAACTGATTGCAAAAGCGCTAAATATCACAAAACATTTTAAAATGAATGCAGTCCATCACTGACCGCTATTTTCTTCTAAATATAAGCATGCAGAAGTCTTTATTTTGTATGAGCCACTGTGTGAAACTGGTGCCATCTGTCACACCCGACTATTTTACAACTGGTAATTTCACAAACAACTGGGACTTAATGAACTAACTGCTGGCATTCAGGGAACATGCTCGGATAAGCTTTCCACCTCTTCTCTGCCATCTGCCCACATCCACACCGTCAGCATGTAAAAGTGAGCTAAACATTTCATCAAAGGAAACATAAAGCACAGGTGAAAATATTTTATGTCTACGGGGGCATTCGTCTGCTCGCGCCACTGTGATTTGGCTCCTCCCTATTTATCTATTAAAGTTGGTTTGTCATTAAAGAGATTCTGACAATGACAAGTAATCTGTCACATTAAATTAGAGAGGATGTTACTACTCATTTCCTCTTGAATTTTTTCCCTTTCTTTATCAACAGTGACTATTTTAGCCATTTATGTTTAGTTTGGTGTTAAAAAAACAACATATGTTGAGTAAATTAGAATAAATACACCACTGTTTTCTTGAGCAAAAAAATTTAGTTTATGTAATAGGACATGGATAACTACAGCTTTCAACTGGAAATGAGCAAAATACAGGAATGCAAATTTGTATATCTGGTAAAAATGAAATCCTTCATTTGATTTTCAGGAAAAGAGTGGATGGTGGCAAAGACAGGCTCGAAAATTGAGTAGAAAACTTTTGTGCTGAAGTCAAATATTTGCACGTCACTGTTTTATTTGGAGAGGTTACGTGATTAAATAATGTGGGTCGTCATTTATGTATTTTGAGGTATGCAGTGACACACTGTAGCTGTAACTGAGCTGATGTCGCCATCGAGGCTACATGTAAGTCTGATTTAACCTGTCATTCACGAGAGGACCCAAATTTGGGTCCTCTCGTGACAGGGGTGTCAAACTCCAGTCCTCAAGGGCCGCTGTCCTGCAACTTTTAGATGTGCCTCTGCTGCACCACACCTGAAAAGAATAATTAGGTCATTAGCAAGGCTCAGGAGAACCGATCTACACAGGGAGGAGGTAATTAAGCCATTTCATTCCACTGTTTTTTCCCTGTGGCACATCTAACCACTGCAGGTCAGCGGCCCTTGAGGACTGGAGTTTGACACCCCTGTAATGACAACCTGTGAATAACAGGTTAAACACGAATCAGTGAAAAGTCTGAACCTAGTCCTGAGTTAGGCTCATATATTTCACTATATTTCGAGCGAAGTTATTTGCTGTGTAAATCATGTAGAAATGATGTAGAAAACATCTGACTCAGTGTGAGCCGAATCATTTTAGAAGGAAAAAGCTCAACGCTTAGATAACACTTTATCTAAGCGTTAAGCATTTAAACAATTTAGAAAACAGTGGTAAATATGGAGACATATTTATGTATTTATCCTGTACTGGTGGACGGCAATGACACATATTTTATCTATACTTTAAGCAGGTTAGATGTACTGTGCAAAGGCATCACCGGAGACGATGTTGAATTAATGTTTTATGCCAATTGTTTCACATAAATATTCATTTCCAACCAGATGTACTGCATTCTTGAACAGCAGCAGCATATCTGCGTTTTTAAACTTGACTTATTGAGTTTCCACAGCAACATGGACACAATGAACTGCTGACATGGTGTTTCTGAGGCAAATGGGGATATGAGTTTAACTTATATTATTAAACATTCATTAATCCTTGATCCACATCAATAAAACCGTAAACGGCATGTATTTAGGACCCTGGGCTTACAAATCATACACAATGGCGTCACATAGAGTTTGTACTTTTGTATAGCACAGCAGGTAAAGACACTATGCTGGGAAATATGAGGCCCATATCGCAGCTTACTCTACTCCTTTTCAAAATATGAAAAATTATATTACTATTTTTTTTTTTTTTTTTACTATTCATACCTAATCATGTAATTTGTAATGTCGTCTTGTAGTAAAACAGCCCTTTTCGTCATCCCAACAAATGCACTCCTTTCCAGAGTGTGGAAGTTGTCTCAAGTTTTCTTCTGCACTGTGGAGGTTCTTGTATGAATGGTGCACCGGCCTGCACCCCAAACCAAAAGATTTATGCAGAAAATGATCAAATTCCAGACCAGGATCAAATGCAGTGCAGCCCTGCATAATGCCTGTCTCCCTGTTCCTCGCAAGCTGACACCTACTTAACATTTGGAGCTTCAGGCTCACCAACTGACACCTAACACATACATAGAAGCAAAAGAAAACTTTTTTAGTTTAGGCCACAATTACTATGTATTTCTTAAAATATGTTTTCACTGTGCACTCCCTTTGTTAAGGCTGTTTATATGCCCATATGGACCTTATTAAGAACCCGCAGTACTCACAGAGTTCAAAAACATACAGGTTAAGTTAACTAGTTACTGACGTTTAGGCTTGACTCTGTGCGTATACGGCTGTAAGTTCTCTGTGAGTACTGCGATGCTGTATTGGACTTTTGATGGACTGGAGGCCCATCAAGAACGTACCCTGCCTCTTGCTTATCGACTGCTGCCTTCAACCCAGTTTCACTGCGATGCTCCACATGAAACGCCGGGCTTTTTATCCTCCTCCACAGAGAAAAGCAGTTTCTCTATGGAGGTTTCTCTGCAGTTTTTCCTCATTCATCATGTATTGTGTATTGTTAAACAGTTTAAAAAAAAAAAATCATGTTTTTAACCTCCTCCAAATATTACCGAGATATGATTCCATTATAATAAATAAGTTGCGTAAGACAACAACATGCAGTGTCCTGAATTCTGCACATTGACTTAAACAACAGAGTTATTCACTATAACGTTAATCTTTCAGTTAATCAGAAAAACCCTCCAGGGGCCTCAGACAGCCAGGTGAGGGCCGCTGCGCTGACGTCTTGTTTAAAGGAAGGCGGTTTTCACCCTGAAATAAGTTCAGCTGCTGCCAGCAAAGACAGCAGCCAGTTGGGGAAAAGTCCTGAAAGATACCCAGAGGCTGCTGGCAGAGCTGGCGCCCTGCATCAACATATGGTACATCCCCGCCATATGCCCACGCATACGAGCTCTTCCTCACACAAATGGCTGCTATGAAGTCTTCTAAGAACTGAACACACTCACAGCTTGGCATCATTTTTTGTTTGTTTGTTTGTTTGTTTAAAGAATATCAGAGAGTCAGACATTGACTGTAAATTATTTGGTAGTTACTTATTTCACTGCTCCTACTTTTTCAGAAAAAATAAATAAAAAAAATTCCATAAAACAGTTTTTTGTGAAACTGTCAAGGCCAGCTCTTCATCGCCAGGAATTATAAGTCTTTTTTTTAACTTGTTACATGGCATGCTTCACATAATTGAATTACAATTTATTTTCTAGGACAAAAATCTTACAAACTGCTGAAAATATTTTCTAAAATGCAAACTTTAATTTAAAAAAAAAAAAAAAAAAAAGCACACACACACACGAACACACATGCACGCACACACACAAAAGTCAGTGCTGAAAGTGTACAATCTTGCTTGATCCATCTGGTATTTTGGAGTGAAATAATTTTTTAGTTCAGCATCACCCACTGAAATAATAATGAGGAGGCCAAACTAAACTCAATAATTGTACGTTTGGATATTTGAGCTCAGTTCTGTTTCTGTTTTTTTTATCATCCTGACTTTGCCAGTTGGGATTAAAATTGACTGAGGTCTTAAAAACACTTTTCTCAAGTCTGCTGAAATTTTCCGTTATAGTGCGTCTGCCACTTAAAGTCAGCTTAATGAGATCCCAGAAAAAAAAGAGCAAGAGTGACCTGACTGTTCTGAAGCTATTTGAGGCACAGAGTAACAAAACCCTTGCCCTTTCTGAGCCATCGCTGAGCACTGCTAGCCAGCTGGCTGAGAAAAAGCCAGAAATCTGGGTGTTCTGGAACAATTCCTGTCATGAAAAATACAGTCATGGTGGTGCAACTTTCAGAGACTTGCAGGTAAAGCAGCTGGATTAACCTCAGCTTGCTATACTTGTGTTAGACCCATTAAAAAAAGAACGACAGAGAGGCATTCAATTCAGAGCATTAAACGCAACAAATAAAGCTACAATGAGGTTTAGCTTGATTTTTTTTTTTTTTTTTTTTTCTCAAGTCAAATTGTGTATTTGAATCAAAATAACTGCAACCAAAGGATGTACATTACATTATTTCAAATATGACTCAATTTTAGCACCAAGATTAACTATTGCTCATTTGTTTTAGCTACAGAAAATAGATCCTATAAAGTAATTTTGTTTAAACAAAATCCTCACCTGTTCTGACTGACAAACCTGTAAATGTGAAACCCATCTCTATGTCTTTTCATAAGTTCACAATTTAATTTAATGCTTGTATCTTCAAATCCATCTGGAGTATTGCACTTAAATTGTGAACAGCTCTTCACAAGGTCTCTGAAAGCTTTGAAATATCGTTTAAACCTCTGGGGTCCCTTAATTTTATTCTCCACCTGTGTCCCCCGGACACAAAAAGGCTTTTTTATAGCTTGAAAGGTAGAATTTTTTTTTGTATCAGTATATTTTTTCAGATTTTTTAATTGCTTCAGTCCTCAACATACAAATAAGAAAGTTAACAGCACAACTGTACAAGAATCCCGTTTAAAACCTGACCGAATTAGGTGCAATTTACAACAGCATTGTGAAAGTTGTGCAAAAAAAAAGCTTCAAAGAACACATTAATGTGCCAAAAGACCCAGGTGAGAAACATTTGTAAGCATTTTATGTTCTGAGGAAATTGTAGTTAACTATCCGCTCAAATGGACGGCAAAATCTGACCTCATATTTCTACCATCAGTTCTTGAGAAAACCTCAACAGCAGTAGTTGCAAAATGTATTTCATAAAATTAGACTGAACTAAATTACAGCTTACATAAAACTGAGGGGGTAATTTTTACATTCAGAATATTTTTTATTATTATTTCATAAGACTGAATCACATGACTGAATGATCTCCAGGTACAGCTAATTAAATAATACCTAAGTCAAATGAAGGTTATCCTAGACACACTGCTAACATGTTATGAATGTTACAAAAGAAAGGACTGAAACAGGTGACTGTGCTGAAATATTCCAGAGATTAGTTTTAGGAATAAAAGAAAGCAGAATATCAGATATTGAAATCCCCTGGTTGTAATAACCGTGCATTGTAAATATCGAAATGAGCAATTAGTTTGTTGTTTGTACTGAATGTGAAGTGTTTGAAGGTTTCAAAACAAAAAGCTAAATAATGAATGAAGGAGACAGGAGCATGCAAATGGCACCAGCTGGAGGGTCAGGGAGTCGAGGGTTTTATGCTTAGACTGAACAATACTGGAAAATGGTGGAATATGCAGCTTTAACAATGTTTTTACATTATTTTAAAGTTTGCATTCAGGGTTTCATGTAATTACTTGTCGCATGTGTGTTTAAATTTCCAAATCCATGTTGTTCACTTAGGTGGACAGAGGAAATCCAATTTACAAAGTCCCAAACCGTTCATACACTGGCAAGTTTAGACAGAACATTATTTTCACTTGACCAAGAAGGTTATTTTTGAAAGAAAGCTCTTTATTCACCTCTAATTAATATGTATATTTGATAGATCAATATAAAACATTACTTATACTGTTCTCAATCATTAGAGATTTTTTTAACAGCATGACACCAATCAAATGCTACTTATAATTGCTGATCACTTTTTGCACATTTCCACTGGTATATTGACAATTTATCTGTGGTGATGAGCTCCAAGTCTTTAAGGCTGGAACACCTTGTTGCCATCACCCTAATCTTTAGGCACTCAGGCTGCTTTCAAACCTTAAAATTATTTCCAGTCTGAGAAAAAAAAAAAAAAAACATGTTGGTCAAATTAAAAGACGGGTTTCAACATAAACCTACCAGGGGTATGAATAATTTTGGCCGGAAATCTATCATTCAAAGAATGTGTTATTAAAAAAAAAATGGAATGAAAGTTTTGGATGCTTTGAAATAAACAAATCCTGGGTGAGTCCATGAATGTGTCATATTTTAGTGTAAATACCACAACACTGTAAAAGTCAATCTCATATTAATTCTTGCTAAGTCCTGGCAGGGTTGTGTTTGTGTGAATTTTGTGTGAGACAGCGCATGACGTTCCCAAACTGACTCCTGCATGGAGTGGGCAGCAGTGTGGAGATGTGAACACATCAGGTCAGTGTGGGCAGTATCTCCAGCTGGCAGCTGGAATTGAAGAAAAAGGGAAAAAAAAAAAAAAAAAAAAAACTAGATTGGGAGTTGGGACGCCTGAGGGGGCAGCATATGATCTGCTGGGGTGGTTTCTGTGTGAATGTGCAACAGTGTGTGAATTTATGTGTGTGTGTGTGTGTGATTTACCATATAAAGTCAGTGCAGTGGCTGCAGAAGGTGGGCTGCTTGAAGAAGCGTGCTGTGAACTGATGGTCTTTCACCTCGACAATCCTCTTGTGTTTGAGCGCTCCCTTCCTCTGAAACACGGGCACCCTGGGCGGAGGGGAGAGGGGCGAGGGCAGCAGGGAGGAGGGCGATGTGGGGGAGGTCAGCGTCAGCGGGGAGAGGGAGGGGGACGGGGACACCGGGGTGGACATGATGTCTGCTGGGATGCGAGAAGAGGAGGCTGAGAGCTGTGCGCTGGGGAAGGTGGGTGGCGGGAGAAGGAGAGGCCAAGGACACGGAGGACAAAGGACATAATAGGTCATGCAGAGACAGGAGTGATATTAATGGCAGGAGGAATGTAGGGTAGGGAAAGATCGAGAAGAAGGTGATGGAAGGAGTGCAGAGAGAGCGACAAGTAGAAAGCGAAAGAAAAGAGAAAGGAGGGAGGCACGATGAAGAAGACAGGAAGGTTAATTCAAATACAGACAAAAGTCTCCTGAGAAACTCAGAAAAGCTAAACAATTAGCTCGACTTGCTGTGTGTCCCACATACTGGCCGTCCATCCTGCTGCACCCCTCATTTGCTATGAATACCCGCACCCCCCACCCATACCTCAGTCGTTATGTCAACTACCTCCTGTTGCCATGTCAACAACACCCCACCAGCTGCTCCAGTATTGGAGCCTGCCTCCTCTCATCGTCTTCCTGCCTGCCCTTATTAGCAATTAGTCCTATTTCTGCAGAAAAGTTTGGACCAGAATAACATGAGCGCGTCTGCAGGGAATGGGACGTGCGGAGAAAAAGTGCAAAATGGCAAATATTGGATGGAAGAAGTGAGTTGCTGAATGATAAATGAGATTCAATGAATAAATAAATAAGACGAGGTTAAAAAGAAAATAAATGAGAAAATGATGATGTCTCAGCAAAGAAGCAGTTAAAAAAGATGAGTGGAATTAAAAATGGTCTCGTCATACAAACACATGATGGAGAATACTAAAGATGTGCACCAAGCTGTACTGAAAATACCTTAGTTTGTAAGAAAATCCTTGCCAAAAACAGTCGTCCTCGACTCTTCGTCTGAATGCCTTCAATTGAAAATCTGGGGTGCACCTGTAGCTGGTCAACTCAAACAAGAAAAAAAATAACAAACAAACTCCCAAGAGAAGAGGTAGAGAAGCCAGAAAAAGCAATGGCTAGGAGAGGAAAAGCAGCTCAAGAAACGAAAAAGAACAACATAACTTGAAATGAATGCAACAGGCAACTGGAGTGGTTCAAGTTTTTAAAGAAGCAAACACAGGATTGAAGTGGTATATATATCCTTTAACGTAGAGGCAGGGTGAGTGGGAGTACGAGATGGAGAGGTGGTATTCTCTTTCCAAGATTGATTCGGTTTTTACGCGGAAGAGGATGAGAGATGGAGAGAGAATAAGAGAGAAAGAGAGGGTGGAAAAAGTACAGAAAGAGAGAGCGAGAGAGAGAAAGAAAGAGAGGAGAAAGATTGAGGGGAATAGGCGGCGATTCATTTTGAAATCTGGGTTACTTCTCTCAGGAGAGGGTGAGGGAACCACAGCAAGGAGGACGGAGGAAGCAGAAGCTGCCATTTTGCCACAATCAGTACAGTATGGAAATTTAAGTGCCAACTGGTTCCCCTCTTCCTATCGAGCCAAACAGGAGGGGGGAGAGGAGGAAGAGAGGAAGAGCTCCGCTTGGACCAGAAAGCATCCAGCAACAACAGAGGCAGCGAATCCAACGAATGTTCAATTTGGGTCTGGTCTAAGCTTGGATCTGAATGACAAGACGATCAGCAGGCCTGAGGAATGAGCAGTGGCAGCGTGTCTGCTGCATATCAATGATCTGAGATCAGAACAAGCGGTGACATGATAAACACAACAGTGCCCCACTCTGCACTGAAACCAGGTCAGCCGAGCCGAAAGGGAACGGTAGCTTCCTTCTGAGAGGGGCTAGCGGCCGATCGATCGTAAATATACACACACAAACAAACAAAAAAATAAATAACTAAATGTTACAAATAAGGTCATCAATCAAATAAGTTCAGCATTTAATGGGAGGATAAGAATAAGATGTAGAGAGACGTTGGCAGTGGATGGAGGGGATTAAACTTTTAAATATTCTGTCCTTTTAAAATCCAGACAGCAATTTGAATGTATTTATTAAGGAAGGGTGGAGGGAGTGCATTAAAAAATTGTTTTGAAGAAAACTATTGATAACACACTTGTCACACCTAAAGAAGGATGTGGGCCATTTTCTCTTCCCAAGGCACTGGGAATCTTTCTAAAGGGCACAGCAGGATATTTCAAATAAACATCTGTCCTGAAAAAGTTCAGATTCATAATTCTGAAAAAACAAAAAAACTCAGAAATGCTTCACCGGACTCAAAGAACCCTCTCTCTGTGCACTCCAATGTTATCATGGGAAAATGCTAAATGGAGAAGTAATATGTAGTGAATAATAATAATAATAATAATAATAATAATGTGTTGTTTTGTTCCCCAAAAAATAAATTAGATTGTTTTTGGTGACAAAATTTGAAAAATAACGGCAAAAAGTAATCTGAATGTCTCTCCACATAAAAAAATAAACCAAGAATATACAAGATTAAAAGCTTATGCTGCTCCTCTGGATATTTTTTTTAAAGGTAAGAGATAATCCCTGCTCTCTATGTTCAGGTCTTGCGTCTTGCAGAGGTTACCAGCACCAAATCCACAATCATAGTTGGCATCACGGAGCAGAATGGCAGAGGTTCAGATTGAACACCATGTTGTTCAATAATTACAAACCCTGCTGATTTCAAGCCTTCGCATGTGCTTTGGGCAGCAAACACTGAAACCCAAGTAGATCCTGTCGGCTGGTGAGCTTTAAATATGGCAGCTTTTCAGTAATTGCTGTGTAGCCACATGTGTTTGTAAAACCTGACACAGGGGTCTTTGAGGAAACTTAAGGTCCAAAAACCAAACGGAGACAGAGTTTTAATGTTTACATCTAACTCAACAGAAAAAACAATCCATATTTTCCACAATGTCAATTTCTTTAGGCCTAAAGAACTTAATGCTTTCAAGCTGTTTTAGACCAAATCATATTTCAGTCCCTACAGAGTGAGCAAATGTTTGCCCTCTCAATGTCAGAAATACAAACACGCACACACAGTAATCACTGTCCATGCACGGATGAGGTCCTCAGCAGATCCTGCGAGACGGGAGCAGAGAGGCAGGCGAGCAGGGGGACGATGGGGCGGATTGGTGTGGGACACAGAGACTGAGAGAGGGAGCGAGGGGTTGAAGGTCTAATTAATGGAAATGTAGGTTATTAGTCTCCTGATGAGGACACAGGCAGAGAATTAATTAACAATTATAATTAGCAAGATTGTTAGAGAGCAAAATGGTGTCATCCAGAAAGATAAGGATGAGTTTGCGTACAGAAATGTGTGTGTGTGTGTGTGTGTGCATCAAAGGCTATTGCTGAGTGCCTGTGGATGAAAAAAACAACAAAAAAAAAAAAAAACAGCTGTGTGAACATGCCGTGTCTGACAATGATATGTTATTTCAGCATTAGTCATGCAGAAACAGCAGCTGATTGGGCATGATAGGGGCTTTCCTGCACACAGACCGTCACCAAACGAGCTGCCTTGACTGACATCATTTTCTGGCTCGTAAGACTCTCTCTCTCTCCATCAGTCTTATCTTGGATTAGTCATATTCTTCCTCTTTTGTCACAAACAAATGAGGAGGATGCATACGCATAGTGATGCACAGGGAAAGGAAAGAGTGACGTGGTCACAAAAATACAAGCTGAAGTTAAACGGCACTTTTTACGAACAAAACACAAAAAGCTTCCATTTCGTCTCCAGGCGAGATGAGTCAGCACTTGTGACTCTAAAGCTTCTGTATCGGGATGCTTTTGCATTCCCAACGAAGCGTGGATTCCAGTGTTTGATCATAAAAGCAAGTGGTGAGTTGGTGCACAGCCAGCCAGTGATGCATTAAGCAACAAAAAGCACACACTCAGCAAAAACGCACCAATACAGCCGGCACGATTAAAAGCAGTGACAGGGGCCTTCAGAAAAGCAAGGATAGATGAATTAATAAAGCACCATTAAAACTAAAGTGTCTCTAAATTGCTCCTTGCCATCAGCCTCCATTCTTTCTTTTCTGGGCTGCAGATGGCTATTTTATTATTTCTGACCACGGCTTAATGAAACAGAAAATTCTGCCCTGATAGAATCTTTTTTTTTTGTGGGGGGGGGAGGAGGGTGAAGCAATCAACACTTCAGCAATTACATGCAACTATTATTATGTAACGAGCGCTCATTCACATCGAGCTGCTGCTTCAACCCGGCAGGCTGGCTTTCTCCTCCAAAGAAATTAAGGTAAATTGACTTGCCTAACTGTTGTTCTTGGAATCGGGGGAGAAGTGGTGTCTGTGGTAATCATAACTGTCTATTAAATTTGTCTGCTCTGGTTTGCCAGTTAATCACGTTTTTTTTTTTTTTTTTTTTTTTTTTTTTGGGGGGGGGTTTTTTTTTTTTTTTTTTTTATAAAGGGGGGGGGTTGTTGTTTTTTTTGAAAGA